TCGAGAAAAGTTTCAAGGATGATGCAAGAACACCAAGTCGGAGAAGCCACACTTCCGTGGCCAGTTTGCATGAAGAGGTGTGATAGCCAGAGCACGAATTGTGGACGTGACAGGGAACTGCTTTTGAGAGATGAACATTACATGCATCGGAATGCAATGTTGCCATTGTCTTCGAAGGACGAGCCTGACAGAGAGAGAACATTCTAGGGATACTGTGTTGGAATTGACTCGCGCCATTGCAATTAAACTGGTTTGATGCATCACTCATAAAACAACGTGGAAGACCATTTTGCTCGGACTATTGGTTGAGGAATGTTGAGGAGTAACATGACAGAGCAAGTACAATGTATTTGCTAGCTTAAACCACGGGTGGTGGTGGTAGTTCAAACTTCTGTGTTAGTGGTTTTCAGAGTGATTCATTGGAATGAACGCTTCATAAACCCAAGGAACTTCTACGAATGTAACAGTGATGTCTTGCTGCAGTTGGGGGACAAATAGTTTGCATATTTCTAAGGCATTGTCACCGAGGGAACTTTATATCTTGTGATTGTCCCACGTGAATTCCCATGATGTCCTTTTGTTGGTTGAGCTGTTTCATATTCTGTTCAGCGCTGCCTTGTGCTGGGCAGCAATAAAATGAGTTCAATCTTTATTTCATGCACCAGGGCTACGGACATGCTGGCTCGGACGGATCTGCCTAGAACTTAATTTGATTGGATTATTCTCTCGCGAACTGAACTTGGCCACTAAATGCAAAGAGCTGTTGACAGATATTGTCCAGACTCAGGGCAGCTGGCATCAGTCTGGCTCCGGATCTGCCTGGAGCTGATGTCAAGCTTTGGTTGCACTGACCTTGAATATACATCAAGTTGCTAGTTCCTATGTCATGCAGGGCTACGGTCATTCTCGCTCCTATCGAAGTCACGACTCTGGCTCCTTCCGATCTGCCTAGACCTTACGTCTACAGTTCAGCAGCATTGAGGTGCTTCCATGGGCTTCCTCAATATTGCTGAGTCTTGAGTCTTAACCAGGACTATGGCCGTTCTCGCAGCTCCTCCAGATCGGCCTGGAGATCCAAGTCGGAAGGGCTCGGCCTTAAGGGTTGGCCACCCGCGCAAAGGCTGGCTTTTCAATATAAGTAACAAGAAGCTAGTAGTAACAAGTGCATCGCTTCTAGTAACAAGTGCCTTACTAGTAGTAACAAGAAGCTGTAGTAACAAGTGCATCGCTTCTAGTAACAAGTGCCTTACTAGTAGT